GGGGGGGGGGGGGGCAGAGAAAAGGAGACAGGGAAAAAGAGAGAGAGGAAAGAGGGAGGGAGGAGGGAAATGAGCTAGTGGAGGGATGCCGGTGTTGCAGACATATGCTCGATAGTGGAGGACGGCGACAGGCTGAAGTTGTAGAAACACGATGGAGCAGCCAGAACGGAGGACACAAGGCAAGATGAGAGAGAGAAAGAGATGCACAGAGCAGGGAGGAAAGGAGAAAGAGGGAGCAGCTTGGCTTGTTGTTGCATATGGTAAAGAGCCAATGATTCCAGCAGGTTTCATTAAGTTGCATTGGGAGCTTCGGGGAGGAGGAGGAGGCGGAGGTTTGGCGATTTGGTGGTGGTGCGAGTGGGGGGTAAGAGGCAAGAGAGACATCAAAACAAAATGCAATTTAGGGCACTTGTGTTACCTAAGAAGAGAGGAGGGAGAGAAATGAAAACAGCTCAACTAGAGCTCCTGCCTCTCTTCTTCTTGTTCTTTTGTTCCCTCCGTTTTTCCTTCTTTGCAGAGGGAGGAATGGATGTGTGCTGGTGTTAATGGGTGAGTGTGTATGATGGATATGTGTGGGTGTGTGTGTGTGTGTGTGTGTGTGTGTGTGTATTGTCTGGGCTGGCTGAGCTGGGCTGGCCCACAATAGTGCAACGGGAATATTGTAGGCTACCATGTGCAAGGTGTGCACACGTGTGTGTGTGTGTGTGCGTGCATGTGTGTCTGTGTGCAAGCAAGTGTGTTTTGCATGTTTCACTCTATAAAATTAGTTTGCAAATCACTTGTAGGTCACACACACACACACACACACAGATCACTAATGTGTTTTGTACACTTTGCATCTGCATCATCATACACATATACTGTATATTTGGTGTGTGTGTGTGTCTGCATACATTTGATGGGTGTGTTTGCGATGTGGCTGGGCGACAGACAGGCAGAGGGAGAGAGAAGGTGAGAGAGAGGGAGAGAGAGAGGTGGGTGAGGGTTGGATGTTGTAGCCTGCCTCAGCACATTTACCCCTCAACACACACACACGCACACACACACCACCATCAGTACAGTCAATACACCACTGAGGCAAGTTGTCAGGTTAACCCATTCACTGCTTTAAATACTGCACTGCACACACTGGGACACTCCTCTGTTGCTCTCTTTATGTGTGTCAGTGTCTCAATGCAACTGAAGTCAGACACAGTTTAATTTTTTTTACAAATTCAGAAGCACAAAATTCACTCCATCTTGTTAGGAAATCATACATACTGTAGCTAAATTAAATTCATATCAGTAGCATAAAAAAGAAACGCCTTTAAAATGCACATCGAAAATGAAAATAAGATTAATCTGTTCAATTAAACTCTGGGTTTCTCCCTTAAGCCAGATTAAAAGAATGCTTCACCCACAAAATCATCATGGACATTCTTATTACTCACCCCGTTACCTTGAATTTTGTGAATTTTTGTGTCTGCCCTCACAGCGAACAAAGAATCCAAAAATTGAGAAAATTCCTCATGAATGTTTACCATCAGCAAAACCATATCAAACCATCCATTTCCAAACTCTCACAAACCTTGTGCAGTATAATCCAGGCCTCACTTTTCCAGTTGTATGCTCAGTACCTCCCAAACACATGCTAAAACCTCATTCTTTAAACCACTTCCGGATGACCAGTCTCATGCATGGACAAGTAGCACTCCTGGGCAAGCACATGTGTATGAACTCTGGAATGCACAATCAGAGCTCCAACCCCCAGGCTTGCCCTGGCCCGCAACTATTAAACCCCAATTTGCTCACTCGACCTTTTTTTGAAACATCTTGTACTTTTAGTTTAGTGCAATACAGTAACATAAATGTTTTGAGCACAACAGTCATAAAATGAATGTGTCACATGACCCATGTCTGACAAGAATTTTATGACAGTTTCACATAACTTTTTTTGTTGTTGTTTGACCATTAAATTTTGTGTCAATTGAACATAAAAACATTAAGTACTCATTTTACGACTTTCTTTTTCCTTATTTTATTGAACTGTAAAAGTATAGTGTGGCAAGCTTAGGCATTAGGAATAAGGCAAAGAGATGAACTCTGACTCAGGAAGTGCTCTTTATTTCTCCTTAGCACTATGTTAGACACTAAATGTTTGACACTGTAATATTCACACAGGCGGGACATCACTAACCGTGTAGACCTTTCTCAAGAAAAGAAAGGTCTGGCTGGGCCGACTCTCACTGTGAGATTGGAGAAAAAAACGCCCCGGCTGCTTGTACTTCTTTCAACCAATCACAATCGTTCTGGGCGGTGCCACAGCAACGGTGTGCTTGCAAAAATATTGCTGGGGGGAAACAGGTTTTGGTGTAACACGCCCACAAAAATATCGCCTACAGGACACGAACCATGGCAGAAAAATGGCTACATCCCCGCAAGATCAAACACCGCAAAAGTTAGTAAAGGACGTGTTGAAAATGGTTGAAAACTGCTACACAACCGGAGGTGGTAGGGCGGGACTTCAGCGGGTGGCCCGTTCCGCCCAGTGAGAGGCTGATCTCTGCAGCAAACTTTCGCCCACTCAGACTACTAACCGTGTATACGACTTAACTCATGGTGCAAAATGTCTTTTACCACATTAACTGTAATCCATTAGAACCACTGTGGAATACATAACACATTTAAACACTGTTTTCTTCGGCTTTGGCCTTAAACACAATGTACTCTAGTTTCCCGGCGCAGCACAGGGTGGCGCAGGGTGGCGAACCCCGTGCAGAGCTAGTTTCAAGCAGCGCAACCTGAGGCGCGCTCAATTTGGTAGTTTGGCAGACCGAAGTGTGCTGAGATGGGTGTGGCGGCGCAGCAGGGGGAGGTGTCAACAGATCCAGCTTGGCGCAGTGGCAGTTTCGTGCCAAAAGGCTTTGCTGAAGGTGCGCTAAAAGCTCGCCAGCTGAAACCACGTCTACTGTCAACGCAGGTGGAGCGCAGCCAGTGTAAGCCGAAGTTTGGCTGACCAGCGGACAGTGCGCACACGTCACCAAAACCTCACAGGCAGGTTTCCAGAATATCAGGCACATTAACGATGCAATAAATACCCAAAAAAACACTATTGAATGCAACTATCTGCAATCAGCACATAAATGTATCTCTATATCGACTGTCCCGTCACATCTGATGTCACATCAAATGGGATTGGCACCGTTTGGCACGTTTGGCACGCGTAATGGAAACCCCACCTGATTTGATTAACAAAACTAATGAGTTCACATCCCCCTCAGCCAACCACTACCAGCCACAGCATCAGATAGGGAGTATATATTCAGCATCTGTCATCTTAGAAAAGTCAAAAGAAAAGAAACAGAGTGAAACTGCAAGAGAGAAAGAGAGAGCGCGCACGCATGAGAGAAATGCAACATTGATTTACAATTGTGGTGACCTCCTCCCAGGCTACCTTTGCATCATCAGCCCGTGGAGGTCTGCTTGCAGTTCCGTATATTCGGACACTGCCAGCTTGGACCTCCCAGACCAAAACATCAGTTTCCTCCTGGGAGAAGTTTGGCCGTCTGACGCTGCTGCTCTCTTCTGCCATGGTGAATTGAGTAAACTCTCATTACGCCTTCGCGCGGCGCATTTAAGGGTGAGGAGAGGGGCTCATTTGATTGGTGTGATGTGAATGGGCTGTGTAAAACCCACTCCACGCCTTCTCTCCTCCCTCTTTCCGACTTGCACAGGTAGGAGGGACGGAGGTGGGAAGAGGAGTAGCTGCGCCAGGCGCACAGTGTGCCAAACTTGCAAAATCCGCCTGGCCACACCCAGTTGGCGAAGCGCAGGTGCGCTGCGCCCCCGCCTCACCTGGTCTGCGAAACTAAAGCCCATTGTCTCATGGCATTCAGGGAATCTCCATTTAGCCCCAACATGCCCCAGTATATTAAGTGCACAGTGATAGTGTTGTGTATTGGCCTTGATAGGTGATTAGGTGAAACCGGCTTTATAAATTTTAGTCAAATTAACTCAAAACTGAAAAACTGTTGACTACATATAAGAAAAGATAAGATCACAAGGGGGGGGCCTAGTGTAGTGGCCAGAGCACCCGTCCTTCATACGGAAGGTCCAGGGTCCAAATCCTACTGGGGTCAACATTAGCAAAGGCATGCAATCGCAAGAGGCTCCCACCACCAAATCAAACAGGGTCAGATTAATCTCAGCCAAGTCCTCAACAAGGGCGCATCTCAAGCCCAGCATAGACAGGAGGTTCCAGACATAAAAGCGGATTCATGTCAAGATCACAAGGGATGAGTTTTTGTGTCAAGTGAAACATAAAGGTTTTATGTCATTTTGACAAGCTGGGGCATTTATGTGGACTTTACATTAAAAAATTTGTGCCGTGGATGGGAGTTTACAGTGGTGGGGAAGAGTTTAACAGCAGCAAAACAAAATTTACCTTGTTATTTACTTTAAATTACTTCTTTACTTACTTATTGGATTTCTGTCACAGTGGGGTCAAAATCACAAGTTTAATTATGATAAAATGCTATGTCAATTCTCAACGTATTCTCATTGGACAATTCATAGGATATCCTACGAAAAATGCATGCACAACAGTTCGTATGGTATCCTACAAATTTGTGCCCTACAAATGATGTTACATGCTTAACATACAGTTGTGTTATTAAAGTAAAGTTACAGAGGTTAGGTTCAGGCAATAAAAGTTACTGAGGTTAGGTTTAGGAAAAGATTTTTTTACCTGGGTACCTGGGTTTTTTTTACCTCTTTTGACGAAGAATTTTGTCAAAGAATGAGCAATCATCTTCTATTGGGCTGCCCACATTGTTGGTTAAAAACCCTAAAGTCCCCCAATTGGAGGACTTTGAGAACGACTTTGCAAACACAGAGTAAAACAATG